CTGACCTTGACCAGAACAGATCTCTAGTGCTGAGGCTGACAGACACAGGACAGCTCATGCCTGTGCCATTCAACCTTCCTGCCCTCAGGAAGCCACAGCTGCATCCAGGGAACCCAAGGAGACAGATACTGGGCGTTATTATCAGTGAACTCTTTCAGAGCCACAAGTCACAGGCCAGGAGCACACGTGACAGCCAGACTGACCTGAGAGTCCAGCAGTGCTCCTGGAACAGCTCTTGCTACCACAAGTGCAACCACTGGAAAATACCATGTCCTGGAAAATACAGTGCCTAGCCAAGGCAACTTCTAATGAACAAACCCTTCCATTGTTACTGTTGAGAAGATCATGAAGGCATTTGGACTTTGGACCTCTTTTCAAACTTCTGCAGGGTCATTAAAAAGTAACTTTGTTTTAGCTACAACCTTTTTGGTTGCTATTGAAGATTTCCAGGTTTATTTGCTCCCTAATCAGGAAACAAATTCATGCTTTGTTTCTCCTCAGAAAAATGTTTTTTTTTTCTTCTTTCTAGCTTTTTCATTGACCTCAATATTTGAACATCTTTGAAAGACTTAGGCAAGGTGATTAACATTCACTACATTTATTTCTCATTTGTCTCCAAGGAAAGAAGGATATGAAGCATTTTGCTTTGTGTATAAATAAATACTACTGCCTATTTTGGCTGAAAGAATCCCATCCCTTACAGCAGAGTTTAGTTTAGATTGCTTCAGAGACCATGACTCACATAAAGTGGTCCAGAGATTAAAACAACAGCAACAATGTTTTAGTCCTTCAAAAGTAAGAACTGAGATGTTGATCTTGGTTCAAGGAGAAGCCAAAGCAAGGCACCTGGGACAAGTAAACTGCGTGCACTGGGAGTTAGTGCTGCTGAGTGTACTCTTGCAGCTTTTTCTAAAAGTTGGTATTTTGAAAACACCAAAGGCTGTAACAAAAAAACTGTAGCAGTTTGCAATAGGGTACATGATGAAAGCATGAGATTATGAAATTTTCAGTCTAGAAGTCTTTATAACTTCACAGCAGCTGGAAATGTCCAATAATCCTCATTGTAAAATTTTTCATTTTAAGACTTCTAATGTTCATTTAAACATACTTTTCATCAGCTATATATAGAAGGACTTGCCCAAATACTGAAGAGGAAACAGTTCAGCTAGCTGTTTTTCTCAGTTTTTGCTCCCAAATAAATCTGAAACACAACCCATTAGTAAAACTATATTAAGCTGAAACACTTGGATTTACCTTTTATAATCCTGACAGCCTTTACCTAAACAACCCAACCCTAAACATAAATTATTCTTGCCTCAGTTTCTTTTTGACAGATGTGAAGATGTAGCTGTTACAGAGCCCTGTATTTCCATGCTACCTTACTCCAGCTTGTGAAAGTATCTCCAGTTAAGCAACCACAGCTGCAATGCTGGGTGTGATTCAGCCAAATTTTTAGTGTTAATCTGAGCCTAATGCAAAGATCCAGAGGAACATCTGAACTTTATCACAGTTCTTCAGCAATCCATGTAATCTACAATGATTGCATGTGTGGAAAATACATGCAAGGAGCCTAGCACAGGGAGGCTTTTTGTAAAACAAGACCTGGAAATATAAGACCCCATAAAATATGAGTCACAAAATTTGACTATGTACCTACCCTGTTTAGATTGGCAAAGCACAGCTATTATCACAAAGAATTTTTTGGTTTTTCAGTGGGGCCAATCTATAGTAGTTTGCACATGCTCAAGCTTGGAGCATCTCCCAGGGTGTCTGTGGTTTGAAAAAAACCAGCTTCACAACTTTAATGCTTCTAAGTGACCAGAACTTCAAATAAAAATCTCAGTCACCTATATACCGCCAATATTGCAGGTCACTCAGTGGCAAAGCTGTAAGAATAAAAATTACAGGAGACAAGTTAACATAGATTTATTTTATTGTAATGGACTCTTTAAATAGATCTGCTTTAAAGTGACCCTGTTAATACGGGGTTTCATAAATAAGCAGCATAAACACTCACCTGCTTTAAAATACAAATCTGGACATTTACAAGGTCAGGTATCATCATATTATTTTCAGGCATGCTCTTACCATTGTTGTTTTGCAATGCATTGTTCTGTTAGGAAACATTTCTTTACCAAGAGTGTGGTCAAACAGTGGAACAGGCTTCCTTGGTAGATGACCAACGCCCCAAGCCTGTCAGTGTTCAAGAGGCATTTGGACAATGCCCTTTGCTGCTCAGTGCTGTCAGATAGTTGAACTAGTTGGTCACTACAGGTGCCTTCCAACAGAAATACTGTATCCTCTCCCTCACCCTCTCCCCTCTCCTCTCCTCGAGTCTCCTCTCCTCGAGTCTCCTCTCCTCTCCTCGAGTCTCCTCTCCTCTCCTCGAGTCTCCTCTCCTCTCGACATAACAGTCCATTTCCTTTCCTTGTTCAAGATCCCATGACCTGAAGAAAGATTGCTTTCAGCTCATTTTCATAAAACCATTGTGTATGTGACCTGCTGCTTTTGTTTTGCTCTTGTCAACACCAGAGTTTTGAAGGATCAGCAAGGCCATAGTTATGTCGATAATTTGCGTGGACATCACTGAGCTCACGAGGAACTCAGCTGAGAGCCTGTTTGGTAATTATTCTTAGCAGGGCTATCTTCTCATTTAACAGAGATTTCAGTTTGTTTTCATAGAATCAAACAATACATTGGGTTTAAAAGATCACTTGGTTCCAATCCCTCTTACACTGGCAGAGACCAGGTTGCTCAGAACTCCATTTGACCTTGATGTCCCCTTGATGGGGCATCTACACCTGCTCTGGCCAACCCGTTCCAGAGCTTCACCACTCTCACAGAAAGTAATTTCTTCCTTGTATCTAATCTAAATCTACTCTTCTTTAGTTTGAAAGGAGACCTAGACCTGCCCCTACATGATCTTGTAAAAAGTTCTTTATCTTTTCTTTGGGCTCCCTTCAGGTACTGGAAGGCCAGAGCTACCTCATCCTGAAGCTTTCTCTTTTTTTGGTTGAGGAATCCCAATTCTCTCTGTCTCATCACAGTAGAGGTGCTCCATCCTTCTCATCATCCTGGTCTTGCTACAACAGGTCCATGTCCATCCTTTGCTAGGGAGTGTGAGAGACTGAAATGTTAAAGGTTAATGAGTCTATCAGCCACTGGCAAAAGCAGCAGTTGATTTGTTGGAGGCAGATTTGTACCCCCAACCAAAGCGGGGAGGAGATATTTTGGTTATGTGGTGGCAAAATCTCTCATCTGCCTAAGAATAACCAAGGTGCATAGGGAGTGAGCCAATGGAGGACGACCACCAGTGGAGGATGGCCACAACAAACCAACATTTGTTCAGCAGCAAACTGGGTTTCGAACCAGGTAAGTGAGAAGGCTGATAAGAAGCATATCCTGTGAGGTGGGATAAACTTTTTACCATGCCCATGTCCTCCCTTGCACAACTGGCTCAGGTGTAAAACTCCCACCTGGGGTATCAGAACATTAACCTGTAGGCTTGAAGATACTCATCCCATCTGAAGGGGCATAACTGGCTCAACTACATAGTTTCAGTATTTGTACTGAAGAAAATATACTCTGTCCTTGTTCAAAGATTACTAGAATTTGCCTAGCACTACACAGAGTACCTCCTAAGAAGGGAGGTATGCCATCCTTTGGCATTTCACTATATTTCCCACTAATTTGGGAGCCTGGGAGATGTGACTTTGAACCTGTGTGAGAAACATCATAGTAGCCATTCCCCTGGGTGAGACAAATTGCACGAAAACACTCCCCTCCACATAGCCTTCAGATGGTGAGAGAAAAGGGAATAACCACCAGGTGAACTATCTGAGTGTTTTTAAGCCTTAACTATGCCTGGATTTAAAGAGTGAATGACTGAAAAGAAATTTTATTTGTCTTTCTCCTATACCCACCTACACCTTAATTAAGAAAACACTTAAGAGCTTGTCTTAGCCTTTCCTGAAAGCTGAACAAGCTCATCCTAGAAATGTTTCTGATAAGTGGTGAGCCACAAGTTACCCTATCTTAATAGCAGGTTCCCACAAAGAATTTGAAGGAAAAAAGGACATTTTTTTCTGTAAAGTAGGCTTTTTGGACCTAAGGAATCCAGAAACTGCCTATGAGTTAGTTTTTGAGTTCACTCCAAGTTTTACATATGAGAAAACAGAGGTAATTTTTATTTTTACAAGAGGTGGTAGCTTTTCTTCCACCAGAATGATATTTCCCCTGCATGACATGTCAAAGATGAAAGAAAGTGAAGTTATTATTTATTCCTCTAAAACTACTTTGGAAACTAATTCATATAAGGAAATTAAGGAACTATCTGTGTCAACACTGCAATTATAAAAACACATTTCCATCTAGAGTTCTTACACCATACAAAACTAAAATAATTAGTCATGGTGAGATCTATAGATTAGTATGTTCATAAAACTGAGAGATGAATAATCAGTAAAAGGCAGAACTACTGGAAGCAATTTAAATGACAGACGTGAAAAAAGATGAGCAACCACACCCATAATATTTAAAAAATACGCAGAGTTACAATACATTTTAGATTAAAAAAGGTCTCTGGATGTCATCTATTTAAACTCTGTTAGTCAAAGCAGGGCAAGTTAACTAAGGATCCTGTCCAGGTGAGGTCTTTCTACTCAGTGATGGAGATTTCAGACTCTCTGTTAGTACAGTCTAAGTACAGTTAGCAGCACAGATAAATGGAAAACATCACATCTTTATTATTTTATTAAAATTTATTGCAAGATCAAAGGTCTCACAAAAAAATAGAAACTTACAAATTGTGTGAATATTTTCAATGCACTCATAAAGAGACATTAAAAGAAAATCCGACTAAGATTCTGTACTATATCTGCAATATAATTCACTGGCTTTATTCTTAAAATATTGTTGCCATTTTGGAGTAAATAAACAGCATAGCATTACACATGTTCACAAGTATTTACCACTTATTTTAAACAAAGTATTTAAGTTTGTTTTTTTTTTTTCCAGAGAAATTAGTTCATCCCCATTTTGAAAAGTCTAATAAAACATTCAACATCCTTACTGGAAGGAACGTGAGCTGATGTTTCTGCTGTAAAAAATTATGCTATGGAAATCAACAAATAGCTTCACAGAGTTATACAGCCATACTAAACAAGCTCCTATGTTATGTTGCATTAGGCCTTCTGGATTAGCAAAACATTTTGACAATAATGGCAACTTTTCAGCTGAAGCTTAAGCATTTCATAGTTTGGATTAAAATGCTGTAACCTTTGAAAAACAAATATCCAGTGTTACACACCTGACAACATTCTTAACCAAATGGTAATACTCTAAAGGTTAAGGCAACTCCAAACTGAAGCTGCAATGTCTGTATTTTCACAATTCCCTGCTCAAATTTAACTCCTTAGAATGCAGTGTGTGAGAGGGAGGGATAGAGAGGCTGTGTGATACTAGATTGCTGTTTGGGGTTAAACCATAACAGTCCCACAAAGAAAATAAAACATTCTGTGTGTCTAATTTGGATATTTCCTTGTACACACTATTAAGAAGCCTCTGATCCTACAAAATTATACTGATGATGGGACTCATGTTTAGATGGCCTTCTCAAGGTAAGCACTACTTGCATTGTAAAATCTGCGGGATCCTGTTATTGACGTACACCCATTCATCTGAATTTTCCAATTCATCAACAGAACAGCACAGTCAGAGGAGACAAGTTCATTTACAATAGACAGCGATTTTTTTCAGCCATATATAATAAGCATTGCCAACTTATTTCTGATAGTTGGTGTACTCACTTATTCTCTGTCTTCAAGAAGTGTACCTGGTTATTATTGTTAGGGTAAGCAGTATTCTCATTATTAAAATGTCATTAATTAATTATTAATTATTAAAAGGTGGAAAGATTTTAATATTGGTACAGCTTCTTATATTTAAAGGAAAAAAAAAGCTAAGATGTTGATAAGAAAAAGTTCACTGTAGATTTTCATATTACTTTGTGTCTTAAAACGTCTGGCATAGCTTTAGTAAATAAGAAGCGTCAAGTTTAGTTCCCAGTTTCAACACAGGCCTCTGTTGATCAACTGCACTGGTGCTAGCACTGAGTTACCATTTACAGATCAAAGGAAACACACATGACCAAGGCAAAGTAAACAGAGGAAAACAAGCTTAACATCTATAACTCAAACTATCCAGAGAACTAGTAGGAATCCACTTCAAGAAATTTGCCAAAGGCTTTTATAACTTTTATGCAAACAAAACCACAATGCATTTCCAAAAATTTTGCTTCAATATTTGTACTTAGTTGTACAGTACATTAAGATCAGTGTACAGCTTTTGCCATTTTACTGTAACCTCTGTAAACTCACAACTATATTGCATCATATGAAAGGTTATAAACCCTTCTGCAATCCCCATTAGATATACTGAATGCAGCAGAGTGGAACACGTTGGTACAGAAGGTTAGGAGCCAGAGGACATATTGGGTGTCCAGCCCATTTGATAAGCCCGCTCCAGTGTTCTCTTGCAATCCTGCAGCACAGTACTGAAGGTTATATGTGGATATTGCTGCACCAGCTGCTCCACTGTAGCCTCGTTCACCTGCAACAGAAGAACAGAACCTGTGATGTGCAGAAAGTGAATGAAAAGGGTAACATGAGGCAAGCTAGAAGAATAGACAAACTTTGGACTCCTGGGTGGGCTTGCAGGATGGGGCTCCTCATTGTTACTACAGGTTTGGGTGCATTTATCACAAAATAAATATATAGAATGTAATGTCCGGTTAGAGAGTGAAAAAACCAAAATCAAACCCAATGCTTTGATTACATTGTAAAGGAAAAAGTTTGTCTTGGGTTGCAATGCAAAGTAAGTATTCTATTACCATCTGTTAAAACCAGGTGGGGCAGTGTTCTTTATCTCTTCCACCACCCATCCTCCCTCCAGGGGGAATCTCTTCTGTTAATGGGCCATTGAGTCTCACTGCAGATCTACACCAGCACTGGACCTTCAGAGGAAAACTACACCCTTCTACAGGATCAGTGTTTCAACAGAAGCACATCTGTCACTCCAGGAGGACTGCAGCCACCATTTAATGGGACTGCTACCAACACCCTGACCAGCAGGGAGTCAGGTTGAATTCTGACTCTGTCAGTGGTTTTTTTGTACTACTGCATTTTATTATATTTTATTTTCCTATTAAGTTGTAGGTTTTTTGTTTTTTTTTTTTTTAATACATACTAGTAAAGAACTATTATTCCTGTTCTCATATCTTCACCTGAGAGCCACTTTTTTTCAAAATTATACTAATTCAGATATAGGGGTTTACATTTTCCATTCCAAGGGAGGCTCCTGCCTTCATTAGCAGACACCTGTCTTTCAAACCAAGACAAAGTTTTATAATCCTGCTTAAACAAAATGCTGCCCAGAGTAACAGATTGCTAACTTGAAATAGAAGCTATTTATTCAAAGTTGCTGAAGATATACATTTAAAAATGTGAGATTTTTTTTGGCTTTGGAAAATGAAAATGGATGACATCTATTAACTAACTTGTGGTACAGTTATAGAGACATTTAAAAATGCTGAGTAGTAACTCCACAATTAACTTTACTGAAATGAACCTGTACTGGAGGGTTGCAATCAACAGGTCTGCCACGGAAAGTAATAGATAACATGACTAAAGATGGGAAAAAACACTAGTTATTCTATGTTGCAGGTAGATCAGTTACTCCTTTTTCTAAAACATTAAAGTTCTGCATGTCTTCATCACTTGCAGAAGATTTTATTTTAGCCTTCTTTTGTGAGGATAACACTCAGAATTGGGATCAATAATTAAAACAAACAAGATGGTTGGGTCTGGGATGTCCCTCTTAAATCTGAGATGTCAAAGTTAGCACCTTTGTTCTTCATAAGACAAGGTAACCAGACAAACCCAGCAAAACCTAACACCTTTACAGCTGCAGTGCTGCTAGGGGATTACTTTGTCAATTATTTTAAAGATGATTGCCATCCATATCACAGAGGTAAACAGATTTCTTCAGCCTTTCAACAAATAAAAGAATAACCTAAGAACGATGACTTCTAGTTGGGTCTCTTTGAAATCTTTGCTGAACAGCTGGGCATTTTAAAATGCATTGATACTACAGTTACTGAACCACCTACATCAGCAGCATGTACAATTGATGGCATTGTTTTTTTCCCCTCAGTGTTACACATTGAAGGCCAAAAGTAAAAAGCCAGACTGAAACGTTTACTACCATTAGAAAAATATGTCTCGAGAATAATATTTTAAAGCATGGTAACCACAGTATCTAGTAATATTTCTGTCCTTAAAAGATAACAAGGAGAGCTTCCTTCTGAACAGTGATTGCACCCAATGACAAGGATAAATGAAAGGTTTAATATCCAGTTCTTCTACTTTGATAATAGAAATACTCAATCTTCATTGGAAGTTTCATCTAGCTGAGACTGACTTGGATAGAAAACTGGTTTAACTTCACAACACAAACTGTACTTCTCTGGTAAATTGCTATGTTACAGTAGTCTTTCAGTGCTGAAAAACAAGAAGTGACTTTTAATAAATCAAAATGAAATCAGAGATAGCACAAGCCCCATAATATTTGATATCTACTGCTGAATATATCCTTGCAAACTGTAAGTTACAATTCACAGAAATATTGTTTGGAAGGGAAGAATCCCTAAAATAGCAGTAATTTGCTACTTTATGCCTATCCAAAACATAGTAAAAAGTCTCCTTTCATTAGAGTTATGCTGCAGAGACACATGACAGAATCTATCACACTACCGAAAACTTCTCTTAATGGTTAACTCAGGCACAAAAAAGAGGCTTAGAAACAACAGCTGCTTATTTTCCTCTTTCTTGACGGGAAACTCGAAGAAGATGCATTATTTATCTACCAGATAGCTACAAATATTACTAGTACATAGAAGTTATTATGATTTAGCACTTACCTGTTGGGCATTATTTGTTAGGATAGCATGGATATTATGGCTTTAGAGACAGTGTCAAATGCATATTCTCTGTTATATTAAACAAGTAAGGCGAAATAATTTCAAAGATGATGCTCACACACAGGAAGGCAGTAAATGCTCGCCACGTCCTGGTGCATTGGAACTCAGGACACGTACACAAGGTACAGACTAGCTAGGTTTAAGCTGATGCATTTACTACCAGGCTAACTTAGGCATGGCTCATGACACTCATGAAGACAGAGGATGTTACAATGGTATGTTTTATGGTATGTTTTAGCCTTAAAATCTACAAAGTCTATGGTAAACCACGTTGCACTGTTTGTCCTAGTTTTTGCTGATACAATTACTACTAGATAAAATAATATTTTATAAAAATTGTTGCTATTTGCTATTAATACCTTCTAAACAGAAAAAGGAAGCTTTTGGCATCAATTGCCAAATACAGTTACAAAATAAACAATATGAATATGAAGAAGGCAGATAAAACCATTGCAGAAGTGCCACTGACAAAAACAGCTGTTTTATGACCAAAGCCTAAAGAGTAGAAGCTTTTCTCCATTTTTTGCTGGAGCATTAAGTAAATATTTTAAATTATTAGTCTGATCCTAGGCAATAACTTGTGTTATAATGTGTTGTTAAATAGCAAAGTAATGCCAAGTCCTATGGATGTATTTGGAACCATAACATTTACAGAAAGAAATTACTTTGAGTTGGAAAAACTGAGTTTACTGCCACAATAAAGGACAAAATTATTTTACCAAGCTTCATGACAAATGCTAGAATATATGTAACTTTAAGTTAAATGTAAGTGTTCTTAATCCTGAGAGTAAAAAGCAAAGAGTTAAAAATTATGTCCAACTAAATTCAATATAAGATCACACCACAGTAGAAGGAGAAAAAAAAATTTGGCAGTGGGACAAAAAACCTGGACCTAGAGATGAGAAAAAAGTATACCCTATCAGAAGATTTTGATACCTCTTCTTTGACATGAAAAAGTCAGGTCAGACACTAAAACAGTGAAAAACTTTTAGTATTTAAAACTCTCCATATTATTGGACTAAAACTGCATTATCTGAAAAATAGGAAAAAGGGAAATAAAATTTTATTCCTTACTAATGAATGTGAAAAGTAATATCTAAGTCAACTTTGTAAGTATCCTTGTCATCATTTCCCTAGTGGTAAGATTAAGATGAAAAGAAGCCTTATGCCCAGCCATTAGAACACAAGCTTCTGTCTCTTTGTTAAGAACAGCCTGGCTGCTGATAAAACAAAAGTACTGAATGTCATTTCCAAAATAAGTTCATTACACAAACAGAGCAATTTCCCCTTCTGAGCTTAAACATTCTTGTTCAATGAATGGAAAGTAAAAATCTCCACGTCCTAATATGCTGTAAATGCTATATTTTTCTTTCACAGAACTTTCATTAATCTTCATCTTTTGAGATGTCAAAAGAAAGACTACTGTCTGCAGATAAACTACCTAGATTATCTAATACATAATCATTCATCTGAATTTGAATAGCTCTTCAATTATATTTTAACACATAATGAAAGAATGCAGCCCATATCATTAAGAATGAAAGTAATAGGTTTGTGCAAATCCTGGTCATCAGACAAAAAACCAAAATAACAACAAAGACTGGTTTGAAAATTATTTTTTCTTTCTGAAATAAAAATTTATCCCAGGCCAAGGAATAGACTGAAAAAAAACAAAGGAGAAGATGGGTTACAGAAAATGGTATAATTTTCTTTTACCTCAATTAGAGCACTTCCCTAGAAGTCATAATTTTGAATACTTTTGCTTAAAGACACCTGAACACATATTGCCTATTTCCCAAAAGAAATTACTTGACTTTGTGACAAATGTTATCTGGGGTAGGACCTCCTTAACTTCTTCCTCTAATGACAGAGTGGTTTTGCAGAGAGTATTTAAGTATTGTGAGTGCTAGAGAACATTTCTCACTTGATAATTAGGAGTTCATCTTGGAAAGAGGAACAAGAACATCCTTCTAGTCCATATGAACTGGAACACTGTCAAGAGGATTTTGTGAGTACCTCTTTGGAGAACTTTCATCATCACTCTGCTATGTACAACACACAAAATGTGGCTGAAATGAGAAAAATGGGAAATCAGTGCTCAACACTCTTTTTCTGCCCGTAACAGAAAGCTGGAAACCCCCCTCCATTCTGTAAATATTTTTCCCAGAATAAAGTAGCCAACACTTATGAGCTGATATTTTCAGGCTCAGAGTAAACTGAAAGCTACTCACAATAAAATATTCATTCATATTTTGATCTGGCATGGTATATTTACTCATCTAGCCAGTATTTACTGATTTGGTACACCACTTGTCTGACACAGAACACCTTCAGAAATTTCTGTTATGCTATTTTCCACAAGTTTTCATGAAAAATTCAAAATGCAAGTAAGAACAGTTATTAGGTCATTTTATTTTTTTTTTCCTTTTAAATGTGCTGTGCCATTTGGTTCTATTAGTAATTTCAACATTTCTTTTCTTCAATTTCTAGAATCTAAAATTAGGAATTTCTAAAGATTCCAAAGGGCTACAAATTTTTTTTTTTCAACCTTTTGTTTTCATTTTGTTCCTAC